AAAAAAAAAAAAAAAACAAAAAGTCGATCGATCGTGGCCCGCCGAAAGAATACGAGCAAATAATTCAACACAATTGTTTGCATGTAGTCGCCCACTACCAAACATGACCGCGCTGGTTACCAACGATAGCCATTTATGAAATTAAATTTGATGGTCCGCGGTCGGCTGGTTGCTATTGGTATATTCGAAGTGACGTTGAATTTCACGGAATAACAGCGATCCTTTCATTCAGCCTCTCTGCCCCAGCCCTGGGATCAGAGATGCACGAATTATTCGTTCATTTACGAACACATTCCACCACTTACAAACGTGCATTTCCAAACATGGTAATTCTCAAACGACAGAAGAAGAATCTTGTTGCAACTAGTTGCGTTTCTATAAATCTCAAATCTCCTATTATTTCGCATTATCTCTCTTTCTTTTTGAAATCTTATTGCGAACATTCTATTTTGTTGTAGCTTTCTCGTATTATGATTATTCTTTCTAATAATCAGATCTTTAATAATCTAAAGATCAAAGGAATAAAAATTGATGTATACAAAAATCGTCGATTGAAATTTATTTTATCAAACAATTAGACTAGATGAAGATAGAGCAAGATAACTTTATCTTCAAGGCAAATCGTTTACAACTTAATAAATTAGCCAACCAATCATTTATATTAATTTTTGCATTTGTTTTAATTCCTTGAATCGACCCTTCAAAACTGTTTCATTGAATATATTAACACAAATATGTTGATATACGAATTATAAAATAAAAAAAAAAAATATATGTATAGAGAATCAATTAACCAAGATGAGGAAACCAGGTGTTTCCCTCTCGAATCATAAAAGCAAATTAATACTTGTCTCAACGCTGTCTCAACGCGACATAAGGGAGGAAGATGAAAAAGAAAGAGAAAAAAAAAAAAAAAAAAAAAGAAAAAAAACGAAGCGTAGCGGCAAGTTGTCGATTGTCTCACGTCCGATTAGTCGGGAACAACGTAAGGGTGAATCCCCATGGCGCCGATACTTTCCAGGCAACGGGCTAACAAGAAGGAGTACACAGATGCGTGCTCGGCTCGTAATTAAATAAAAAGTCCATCAGTTATAGTGGTGTTTCGAAACTGTTGTCGGGCGCCGACAGGATCAAGGACTCGCGGGAATTTAGATGGGAAACACGTCGGTGTTGCGTATCGATCCTCGATTACGTCGACGCTTGTATGCACAGGGTTTCTGTGCCCGAATTAAAAGCGCTCATCAATAAATGATCGGCGGTCGAATCGGTGGAAAAAAAAAAAAAAATGCGGAGGCCGATCGATACTGTGCATTCATTTTTTTGTTTTTCCTTTTTTTTTTTTTTTTAACATTTCACGCATTCAATAATATGTATATATATATATGTATTTAAAAAAAAAGAAAGGGAGAAAAACATGGAAAAAACATAAAAAGAAAAATTGAAACGCAACACCTGTGATAACGATAAAGGTACTGGCATAGTGGTTCGCGATGGAAATACAACGATTGGACACCTGTCAATTCCA